TCCGGCCCCCTTTGTGCTCCCCATCCGTAGTCACCTGCTAGCAGCAGCCCCCCCCCTCATGCAGGCGTTCCAGTGCCCAGGCAGGTACCCCATAGCCCTGGCCCCCCACGGGCAGTGCTGCCCAAGTTTCTTTCCCGCGGGGCCGTGACCTGCATGTGCCCCGCTGCGCATACCAATTGACCAACCTGCACCACGTCACAGACCCAGTGGGGCCCTGTGGGGGGAATGGGAGGGGGAGGGGCGCAAGGCCCTGCAGGGCATCCATCCGGAGGGGGTGGCCAGGGAGCCCCAGCTCCTCCGCCCCTCTCCACCTGGTCACCTTGTTTGGCTGCTCAGGGCAGCAGCGTCTCCCCGACTCCCGAAGGGGAAACTGAGGCAGCAGGGAAGCAACTTGCCCCAGCCAGCCGGCGACAGCGCCAGGGACACAACTCAGGCGTCCAAGCTCCAGCCTGGTGCTCTGAGTCATTCGGGTCTGGTCCTGGTCTCAGGCCGAGCTCTTATCCCCGTGCCGGGCTGTGCTGGGCCAGATCCAGCGGCCCAGGCCAAGTGCACCGAGCAGAACACCCCTTCTCTGGGTGAGATTGGGAAAAGGAGGCGGTAGAGGGGAGGAGAGAGGGTGGGAAAGGAGAGGGGGAAGCAAGGGGAAGAAGGGGAAAGGGAAGTTCCGGGCTCAGTGTTGGGGGTCTCGCTGGACCAGCTTGATTTTCATGCAAACCTGCTCCTGGGTTTGCATGTGGCCTTTGGTGGCCAGACTGGCAGGTATCCTGCCACAGACAGCCCCGTTCCTCTGTCTAGTGCAGAGATCATGGACGTTGGGGGCATCCCCCCCAAACCTGAAGCAGGTCCTGATCTCCGCCCTGGACAAGGAAGGCTCCGGGCCCTGGTAGGCTCCTGGGAGCTGGCAGACTGCTCCTGGGGAGTGGTGGAGGGCTGGCTGCCAGTGGCTTGCTGGCTCATGTTTTGGGGCCACTGGGACAGGGGCAGTGACTGCTGGCTCTGGGCTGGCAGGCTTGGAGCTGGCACAGGCACTGTGGCCAGAGTCTACCCCTGCATGTGCAGTCTGAATGGTGCTGCTGCTGAAGTTCTCCGATCCCAGGAACAGGGGGTACAGGGTAAGTAACTTCATGTGTTTACATAGTGCAGGTAGTTACATAACATATTGATCACAACACCAATTCTTAATGAAAATATTACTTAGACAAGTAATATTTAACACTAGAAATATCAGGAAGTGTTGGAAATGCTGAGTAATATATCCTTCCATTTGTTGGGTTTCAGTTTTCCATCTTTTTCTCTTTGGAACCATGTCTGGTATCTCCAGGTCACACTTTCAGTAACAATTTTCCCATTGGCTTGTTGTCTTCCCAAATGTAAGAATTCTCCTCATGTGTCATAAGCAGGATTTCTGGGGAACGCAAAGCAGCTGGGACTCCTACTGTCATAATAATTTTTTAAAATGACTTTTTTCAGATACATTGAATTCAATTTCAAAAATAAGAGTTTATTTTCTTTACTACTTCATTACTTTGTTTGGTTTCACTGATCACAACTACACTACTGCTGTCATATTATTTTGTATGTCTTTTTTTAAAAGGCTCTGCAAAATTGTTTTATAATGTTTGTTTAATATAAGTTTGTTGAATAGTAAAGTAAATGGAGTAATTAAGAAATATTGAGTTAGGCAACCTTTTTTTTCTTCTCAGAGGACTAAAAGAAGTTCCTAATTTGTCACGATTTCAGGTCTTAAGGTATTTGTGGCTCAACAATAACAAGGTAAAAAGACATTTTATTAAAATGTGAATACTGGTATCTAAAATAAATTTTTATTACTAATACTTTTGCTATTACAAAACATTTAAAAATTACAAAATTGGTAGATATAATTTTTTAAATATTATTTCTAATTTCTTTACAAAAAATGTAAATTGATTAAATTGAATGCAATATATTTAAAAAACCTCTTTTGATATAATAGTAGGTTATAAGTTAACAAGTTTTCCCTTAAAAGAATAATGAATTATATTTAATCATTTAGTTAATTGAAAGGGTTAAGTATCTCTGCTAGAGTTCTAAACATAGAGATATTTTAGAAAGATCTACTGTATTCTCCAAATTAAAAACCTTCCAGAATTAAGGTATTGAAAAATGTGTTTGCTAATATACCTAAGATTGTCAGTTTCTGTTGTCACCGGAAGGCAGTAGATTGGTATGCTGCTCCTGGAGCAGCCTCAGAGGAAAATTTGTTATGACTCTGAGGCACGGTTTTCCTATTAATCTCTCTGCTGTTTCACGGAGAGAGTAAACTGTAACAGGTCTATACCTGCCCCAGTATATGCTCTCCCACAAACCAGGGTAACTACCCTGGTAGGCACTGAGAGTTAGCAGTAGATTTGAGCTTTCGCCTGTCCCACCCTCCCATCCATCTCAACACCTCTAAGAGGAAATACAGTAACTCCTTTGAGCCTGCTTCCCCATGTGCATAGACAGTGATGATATAAAGAAATGAGAGAGTGCCTTGTGCCAGTGTGCTGGACAGGCCACAATTTCTCCCTAAATCAGTTGCTTGTAAGAACAAAAGATTAGAAGCAAGACTCTTAGCTAGTGTAAATTTACTTGTGTTTTGTTCCCAGCTCCTTGACTCACTGGTACTTAAGGTGGCATCCATGAAGGGACTTAGTTTTGTGGTGCCTAACTTTTACATGCCTAGAAAAATAGCAGGAACAACACTGTAATCCATGAAGCTGATTTAGGGATGTAGGAGGCCAAGGATGTAGTTAGCTGGGATGTAGGAGAACAAAGTTCAAGTTCCTCCCTCCCTGGACTTTCTCTGTTTGTATCCTCTCAGGAGAGTGCTCCAATCATTGTTCCATGGGACATTCTGATGTGGGACTTCCTCAGTCTCTCCTATTGAAACTGTTTCCCTCTGGGTATATAATGAAAGTTTGAATGGGACAGTGCAACTGGAGCACTTATTGTGGTGCCCTAACCACTGGAATACACACTCATTGTTTCTCTCTGTGGCCCAGTGACGGTTCTACTGTGGATAAATAAATACTTTAAAATGCATTAGACCATAGAAAGAGAGACCCATGTTCAAATCTTTTCTCCTGCTCTGACTGGGAATGGGAGAACTGAAGCTGGATCTCCCACATCCCAGGTAAGTGTTCCAACTAATGGGCTAAAAGTTATAAGGATGGTGCAGAGAAATTATACATTCTTCTTCGAGATGTGTTGCTCATGTCCATTCCATGTATGCGTGTGCGAGCGGCATGCACACGTCGTCTGAAATTTTTCCCTTACCACTACCCGTTGGGCCAACAGGAGAGCCCCCTGGAGTGGTGCCAGTATACCGGCCAATATATACCCCTGCTGGCCCTCCATCCCCTCAATTCCTTCTTACCGCCTGTGATGGTCGTTGGAACATACTCTTGCCTAGCAAGACAGCTAAGGCTTCCCTCCCCAGTTCCCACTTCCTGGTAATCAGATCGGCTGTCTGGGACATGCAGATGTTCCTGATGACCACAGCCAGGGCCTGAACGTGCCTTTTAGGCCTAATGGCCATGCGCACTTACGTTATATAGCACACCGGGCTCCGCATGCACCCACTGCAGATGTGGCTTGCGTGGACTCATGACCCATCTTTTTATGTATGTGACAGCGTGGTGACAGTCTCCTCTGACATCCTTCGCTCCCTGGACTGGTGGCCCCGGAAGGAGGAAGTCTGTGCCGGAGTCCTGTTCTCCAGGCCGCTACCAACCCTCCGGCTCATGACGGATGTGTCAGACACAGATTGGGGAGACACGCGGCTGCAAGATATGTAGTCAAGGGAAGATCTCTCTCTGTGCATCAATGTCAGGGAGCTGCGAGCGGTCCGCCTCATCTGTGTGGCCTTCCTCCCCCGGCTCAGGGGCAAGTCAGTCCTCATCCTGTCTGACAACATATCAGCGGTCTCGTGCATTAACAGACAGGATGGGGCCTGCTCTCCTAATCTGTATCGGGAGGCCCTTCACCTGCGAGATCTCTGCATCAGGGTATATATCCACTCAATTGCTTCCTATCTCCTGGGCTCCCAGAACACTCTGGCAGACCGGCTGAGCAGGTCCTTCTCTGGCCACGAGTGGGCCCTTGCGGGGATATAGCCCTGGACATCTTCCGCAGGTGGGGGTTTCCCTGCCTGGATCTTTTCGCCACGCACCAGAACAGGAAGTCTTCAGAGTTCTGTTCTCTCCTGGGTCTGGGAAGGGGCTATCTGGGAGAAACGTTACTCATTCCCTGGCACGAGGGTCTGTTGTACGCATTCCCACTATTCCCACGGATCCACCAGGTGCTCTTGCGGGTGCAGGACTTCAGGGCGTCCCTGATGCTCATCGCACCCTCATGGTCCAGGCAGCACTGGTTTTCCACTTTCCTGAGCCTGTCATGCAAAAGGCTGGTCATGCTCCCAATAGTCCCCGATCTGATCACACAGGACTTTGGCAGACTTCACCATCCGGACATGTGGTCCCTGCACCTCATGGCATGGAAGCTCCGTGGCTGACAGTGGTGGAGCTTCAGTGTTCGTCCCATGTGCAGGTGTTGCTTGGGAGCAGGAAACCTTCCACTAGGGCTACTTATCTGGCTAAGTGGAAGCGATTTTATATCTGGTCTACCCAGAAGGGGGTGTCTCCTAAGGATGCCCCAGTCCCCCTGGTCCTGGACTACCTTCGGGACCATAGGCTTCATCTTCCTCTTCGATTAAGGTTCACCTCCTAGCGGCTATCTCCGCCTTTCACTCGGTTGCCAGGGGTAAGACCCTCTTTGAGGACCCAATGGTAAACAGGTTTTTGAAGGGCCTGGACAGGCTTTACCCTCATATTTGGCAGCTTGTTCCACAGTGGGATCTTAACTTGGTCTTGTCTAAACTTATGGGACTTCCCTTTGAACCCCTGGCGACATGCTCGTTGCTATATCTGTCCTACAAGGTATCCCTGCTGGTGGCCATCACGTCATCCAGGCGCGTGTCCAAGATGAGGGCTCTCACTTCGGACCCCCCCATATACAGTTTTCTTTAAGGACAAAGCCAAGTTGCGCCCCCACCCTGCCTTCCTGCCAAAGGTGGTGTCTAAGTTCCATGTATCAAAGGACATTTTCCTGCCAGTCTTTTACCCCAAGCCCCATGCATCGGGTAATGAACAGGCATTACACACTTTGGATGCTAGTAGAGCTTTAGCCTTTATTTAGAGAGAAAGAAGCCCTTCTGCAAGTTGCCTCAGCTCTTTGTTGCCATTGCGGAACAGCAAAGGATCTCCTCCTGTATCATGGCATGTATTAGGGAATGCTACAGGCTGGCAGGGGTCCCAGTTTCTCCCCTCATGGCCCACTCTACTAGAGCATAGGCCTCCTCGATCAAAGGACATTTTCCTGCCAGTCTTTTACCCCAAGCCCCATGCATCGGGTAATGAACAGGCATTACACACTTTGGATGCTAGTAGAGCTTTAGCCTTTATTTAGAGAGAAAGAAGCCCTTCTGCAAGTTGCCTCAGCTCTTTGTTGCCATTGCGGAACAGCAAAGGATCTCCTCCTGTATCATGGCATGTATTAGGGAATGCTACAGGCTGGCAGGGGTCCCAGTTTCTCCCCTCATGGCCCACTCTACTAGAGCATAGGCCTCCTCGGCAGCTTATGTGGCCCAGGCACCATCTGCAGGGTCGCAACGTGGTCCTCTCTCCATGCCTTTGTTAACCATTATGCACTGATACATTAGGCAAGGGAGGATGCTGCCCTGGGTAGGGCTGTCCTCCACTCAGTGGAAGGTTAGAACTCCAATCCCGCCTCCTGAGGTTTCTGCTTTGGAGTCATCTACATGGAATGAACATGAACAATCACTCAAAGAAGAAAGAACAGTTACTTACCTCGTAGCTGTTGTTCTTTGAGATGTGTTGCTCATATCCATTCCAAAGCCTGCCCACCTCTCCTTCTTTGGAGTAGTCTGGTAAGAAGAAACCAAAAGGATGGAGGGCCAGCAGGGGTATATATTAGCTGGTATACCGGTGCCACTCCAAGGGGCTCCCCTGCTAGCCCAATGGGTGCCGCTAAGGGACATATTTCCAACAACTGGTGCACACTGCACGCACACACCTACATGGAATGGATATGAGCAACACATCTCAAAGAACAATAGTTATGAGGTAAGTAACCGTTCTTTTTTTGTGAGTTGGTTACACCATAAACAACAAATATGCCATTTATACTGTGACTAACCTGAAAAAATGTGTGATTTCTCTGTGATTTAAGTAAACCCCGACTTACAAGGGAAAAATAAGAATCCTCATAATTTGAGATTTCATCAGAGGATAACACAGCTGATGCTCAAAGTTCACTGTACATGTTTCACTGTAATTATAATCTGTGAGGGTTTGGGAGCCTAACTAAACTTTGAATGTTTTCAGGAAACCAAGAACAAATACATGCTCATTCAGATCAGTGCTGGTATGATTTTTAATTTAGATGTTGAGTTTATTTTTAGGATATTACCTTTGAGAATATTCTTAAATCAACAAAGAAATGTTATGTATTATGAGATTCTTCTCATAATACGAGTATTTCAACTGAACTAAACCTATGTTAGTTAGGGAAATTTAATTTAACACCAGTAATTTTCAGTAAAAATAATTTCCAAAATATAAAATATAAATTGCTGAGTCAAAAGATTCTATAAAGGATGTTCTGTAAGGTTATTCTATATGGATTTCTCAGACATAATTAATATTATTAACAGGTTTTCAGCTCTAAAGTCCTAAAACAAGGAATCATTTTTCACTGAAACAAGAACAAATACTTCTTTAAAAATTTACTATATACTTAAGGGAGTTTGTGCATCAGTCTGTGTGTCTGTCCATCCATCTGTTCAAGAACGCCTCCTAAATAATAAAAGCTAGGACCACTACATTTGGTGTGCTACTTCCTTTTATAACAACATAAAGCAAGATCAGAATTTGGTTGTACCAGAACAATGAGATGTGTGTGGAATGTGATTGCTTCTCATCAAATGGAAAGGGAGGAGTGTGATAGCAGAGACAGTTATATTCACAAATGACTCTAGGAGGATAGGAACTAAAGGGGACAGTTATACCCCAGAATGACTGCAAGGGGTCAGCAAGTGTCCCAGCCCTGGGGAGTAGCGACTGGCCAGCAGCACAGTTCCTGCCACCCCAGCTACCCTCAGGGAACAGCTGTTTGCTGAGCCACATGGCCCCTGCCACCCCATTTGACCCTGGAGAGAAGCTGGTGGGAGGACTGTGCAGCCCCCACCACACTGGGCTGGCCCCAGGGAGCAGCCAGCAGCCACTCCAACCTCTGCCATGAGCACCCCACCCTTTGCCCTGAGCCCCCTCACAGTTTCCATCTCCGTGCCCTGAGTCCTGCACCCCCATCCCTGCCCTGAGATTCTCACCCCCTGCTCTGAGTCCGGCACCCTCAGTTCCTGCCCTGAACCCCTCCTCAACTCCCAACCCTGACTCCTGCACCCCTAACACCCGCAACTTCCTGCCCTGAGCCCTCCACATTCCTAAGACTCTGCCCTGACTCCTGCACCCCTAACACCCGCAACTTCCTGCCCTGAGCCCTCCACATTCCTAAGACTCTGCCCTGACTCCTGCACCCCTAACACCCGCAACTTCCTGCCCTGAGCCCTCCACATTCCTAAGACTCTGCCCTGACTCCTGCACCCCTAACACCCGCAACTTCCTGCCCTGAGCCCTCCACATTCCTAAGACTCTGCCCTGACTCCTGCACCCCTAACACCCGCAACTTCCTGCCCTGAGCCCTCCACATTCCTAAGACTCTGCCCTGACTCCTGCACCCCTAACACCCGCAACTTCCTGCCCTGAGCCCTCCACATTCCTAAGACTCTGCCCTGACTCCTGCACCCCTAACACCCGCAACTTCCTGCCCTGAGCCCTCCACATTCCTAAGACTCTGCCCTGACTCCTGCACCACCCACACCTCCAGCTCCCTGCCCTGAAGGATTCAAGAAATATTGAGTGAATCTTCTAGTACACAACATATTAATATATAGTTCTCCAGAATTAAAATTAGACTGACAGCGGTACCTGTTTCCCTAATTCTCATATTTCAGATCCAGAAGCTAACATTCTTGATCAATAATTATCGTTTGACAGAACTCTACCTCAACAATAATGAGCTCATAGATATTGCAGGTATTGTCTTAAATTTTAAACTTTAGAGCAAATATGTGAAGTTTTGTTTCTGTTTATCAGCAAGTTAAATGAATTCCATTTAGGGAATCCACAGTCAGTGACTGGCTGACAGTAGTTGAAAATAATACAGTCAGATTGTAATAGCATTCACAAAAAGGATACTTTAGGAACATGATTTATTACATTATACTTAGATGATTATATAGTGATACTTAGGGTCATATTCAACCATGATGTAAGTAGGAGTAGCTTCATTGCATCTACTTCAGTCAGGGTATGTCTACACTAGCTCGTTAGTTCGAGCTAGGTAGGCAAATGTGGGTAACCGGAGTTGCAAATGAAGCCTGGGATTTAAATATCCCGGGTTTCATTTGCATGTTCCCGGGCGCCGTCATTTTTAAATACCCCTTAGTCCGAACTAACTGCCCACGGCTAGACGCAGCAGTTAAACGTTAAACGTTAATTCGAACTAACTCGTTAGTTCGAATTAACTGTTACTCCTCGTGGAATTATGAGTAACAGTTAATTCGAACTAAGGAGTCTTGCAGGGCTGCCCTCAGGCCACAAGGGTTCTTGAAAGAAGCTACTTGATGGAAAATTAGGTTTAAATAAGCAATAAATGTACAGGTTGAACCTCACTGGTCTGGCACCCTCAACACCTGGTCCTAAACGAGGGGATATGCTGGACCAGGGGATATCCCTCGTCTCCTGACACAGGCTGCCACCGGGTTAGGGCTTCAGCTTGCCCCTGCTGCTGCCCCAACCCCCTGGGGCTCTTTAGATGTTACCCTCCCCATTGTTGCTGGGGCCAGAGTGCTGCAGCTGGGGCAGAGCTCCACAGCCACCTGGCTTCGTGGCTGGGGCTGGAGCTCTGCATCTGCTTGGATCTTCAGCTGGGGCTGGAGTTCTGTAACCAGGGTAGATATCCACAGCCACCTGGCTCTGCGGCCGGGGCTGGAGGTCCCTGGCAGCCATTAGGACTGGGGTCAGAGCTCCTTGGCTGCCACTGGGGCTGGAGCCAGAGCTCATTGGCTGCCACTGGGGTTGGGGGTCCATGGGTGCTGCTGAGGCCAGAACACCCCACTGTGCTCTCCTCCCCCCCCACACAAACTGGGGCTCCCTGCTGAGTCGCCAGTGCCTCCTGTGGTGCTTCTGCCCCGCCGTCAGACCTCTCTGTTCCTGGACTCTGTGGTCAAGGAACATTCATGGTTGGAGCTGGACCGTGGATGTTGTCAGACCAGGGAGTCCCAGTTAAGGGAGGTACAACCTGTGGTAAGACTGCATTTATATTTTTTGTTAAAAGTGAACTGAAAATATATTGATTCTGGAAACATACCATTTTTTGGTGGGAAAAAATCATGCCATTGAAATACACTTCTGATCTAGTGTGGCAAGTTCTCTTTTGCAGATAAACATCCAAGATTTGCTGTATAGACAATTCATAATTAATTAAAAGTGCTCTCTGGAAACCACATAAATGTATAAGATAATAAATTGATTAGCAGAGCTGACAGACATACCGGCTACATCTACACTGGCAGCTTCTTGTGCAAAAACTCTTCCACAAGAGAGCGTCTACACTGGCATGTGCTTTTGTGCAAGAGATGTGCTTTTGCGCAAGACACTCAAAACTACTGCCATGTCTACATGGCAGTGTAGACGCTCTCTTCCGCAAGAAAGCTCTGATGACCATTTTAACCATAGGAGCTTCTTGCACAAGAAATTCATGTTGCCTGTCTACACTGGCCTCTTCTGGAAGAGCTTTTCCACAAGAGGGCTTCTTCCTGAGAGGGAGCGTACAAGTTCTTGCGCAAGAAGCCCTGATTTTCTACAGTACAACGTCAGTTTACTTGCGCAAGAACGCGCAGCCAGTGTAGACAGGCGGCATGTTTTTGCGCAAGAGCGGCTGTTTTCACGCAAGAACACGCCAGCGTGAAAATAAAGGATAGTAATGTAATACATTGTCCCATATGTAATGTGTCCTCAAAGATACTGCAATTTCTCCATCAGAATAGCTGTCACTTACATTTAAAGTACAGTAGTACTCCGTGAAGTGACTCTACAAAACTGGCTTCTTGAGAAGGCTATCAAGGATTTCTCTTTAGTTTTGTTGGAAGAATCTGTCCCTTAATATTTTTTTAAAATGTTCATATGAATAGTTTATCTTTCACTTTATATAATGTTAGATTGGAGAAGGAAGTTAAATGACATTGGTTTGTGTCTTTTGGAACTTATGGGAAAAGTGAAGGGAAGGGAGGTTGTTCCAAGCATAGGGAATGGTATGCAAGAAGGTACCAATATATGGGAGAAAGAAACAACAAAGTTAGCTTCAGTAGCAAAGCAAAATGGTTGAGGGCAATGATGACAGCTGGGGACACACACAAAGGAGAAACTGGTCCTGTGACCAATCCCCATATGACTCCACTCTGTGCCACCCCTAGTTGTCCCCATGAGGGTGCAGGGCTTGGGATAATGCCCTCCTCCACCCTAGGACCTGTCTCTTCTCGCCCTCGCGTCACACCTACCCGCAAGCCACTGTCCCTGCTCTGATCCCTTCTTGCCCCTCCCTGCCCCCACTCCAATCCATCCATAACTGCTGGCCCCTTACCTCTTTCCCCCTTGGTGTTTGTTGGGTATACAACCTGTGTCCGTCCCCCCCCCCCCCCACACACACAATACCCCTGGGTGAGGGCTAGGGTTTCCAACTTTCTAATCACAATAACCTGAATACCCTTGCCCCTCCAAGCCTCTAAGGCTCCAACCCCATTCTCTCCATCCCTTCTTTCTCTGTTGCTTGCTCTTCCCCACCCTCATTCATTTGATCATTTTTACTTGGCTGAGGCAGGAGGCTAGAAAGTGGGGGGATGAAGATTCTGGCTGGGAGTGCGGGCTCTAGGGTGGACTTGGAGTGAGTCATTTGAGGTACAGAAGAGGGTTTCAGACTGGGACTGAAGGATTTGGAATGTGTGAGGGGGTTCTGAACTGGGGCAGGGAGTTGGGGCATAGAAAGGGGTTCAGAGTGCAGACTGTGGGTGGGAGTTTGGGTACAAGAGGGGGGCTCAGGGCTGGGCGAGGGCTTAGAGCATGGGAGAGGGTGCGGGCTCTGGGCAGCTACTACCACCTAAGCAGAGGTGTAGCCAGGCAGTTCTGTGTACTGCCTCCACCCACAGACAGTGCCCCCACAGCTCTCACTGGGTGTGGTTTCCGGACAGTGGGCACTGCAGAGCTGATGCTTGGGGCAGGTGCAGCACACAGGGTTGTCCTGCCTGTCCCTCCACCTAGGATAGCGTTGGGCAATAACTGGCCTGCGGGCCAGACGTAGTTCACCAGGATTAGCCCCTGGTGGGCCGCTGGTGCTTTATTTACCTGTGCTTCTGCAGGTACAGCTGCTTAAAGCTCCCATTTGCTGTGGGTCACCATTCATGGCCGATGGAAGCTGCAGGAAATGCCAGCTACCTGCTCGGGTTTAACCCTGGTGAACTGCATCAAACTTAGTGCCCACCCAAGCCTATGAGCCAACAGACATGTCACTGTTTCTGGGAGCCACATGGAGCCAAATAGGAAGCCTTCTAGTCCTGTGCAAACTGAACTTTTAATGGCCTATTCAGGAGTGCTAGCTGGAGCCGCCAGGGTCCATTTTTGACTAGATGTTTTGGTAAAAAAGACCAAACAAACAGACACCTGTGAATTCTAGTGAGAGGAATTGTATAGAATGTGGAGTTGGAAAATTAGAAACTTAAACCTGATATGAGAGGCAAGGGGGAGCTGGTGGAGTGATTAAAGGAAGGGAGTGACATAGTCTGACTAGAAACATGTGTGACTGGTGGTGACTTTTTAAAAAAATGTAAGATTATTTGAGTTGGAGATAATGTTCCAGAGGGAATGGAGTTGAAATTGGATAATATAAAGCTTGTGAGGCAGAGGTGGTAATGGGGAAAGGGTGAAACTGGTATGATAGAATGGGGATGATAGTCAATCCAAAATTGAGGTAGATATCAGAGGAAGAAGGAGGCAGTAGAGGATGGATATAGACTTGTGAAGGTGTGGGAGAGAAGTAGGTGAGGGTTGGGAAAGGAAGAGATGAAGATGCAAATGCTGTGAATAGAAAGGAGGAAATAGGTGCAAAATTTCTGGGTTGAGGCAGAGAAGAAGTAGAGTTGTGAGCACAAGGAGTGTTGTATATAAGGGTGGGAGTTAGTAGATAATTAGGATGACAAACGAAATGTGTAGCATAGCAAAACAAATTAGTACGTCCAGGTAGTCACTTACAGCAAGAATAATTTATTATAATGCATTTTATTTCAGGTTCTCTGAAACATTTGCGTTCATTGCAGATCTTGCTGCTTCACAACAACCAGCTAAAAAACCTTGACACAACAGTGAAGGAACTAAAGGGAATGATAAGTCTGAAGACCCTAAGTAATGTGTTATTTTTTATTATTCATAGCAGCAATCAGTAACATTACAAATTAGGGGGCAAGAGACATTTTTGTAATAAGGAATGGAGCTAAATCATTCAGATGTCCAAGACTTTTCTCTCCTATCTTCTTCAGAGAACATGGATTCTCAAATATAATAATATTTTAAATTAAGCATACCACTTTCTGTTTTAACTAGTGTTGGCATTTTGACTTGCTATGTGGAATAAGTGGTAAATGAAAGAACTGTAGTTCCTGAAATTTCAAATTAACATGAACAAGACAGTGCTGGCGCCACTAAGCTGTACTGTGTGAAGTAGCCTCAAGGGAAGTAGGATTATCTGCTTTTAATCTATTGAAATTGAAAGTATAAGCGATCTGTCTCCATCTTTCCTAAAGGAATGTGCTCATAGATCATGCCAGGCCCTCAGAATGCTAAGAAAGAGGAAACTAATTTCATGTCTTAGTAATTAATGAAGATGTATAATATCATCAACCCCTAGTTTATGCATTCAAAAAGCTGGATATTTGATGGCAGAAATAAAAAGATTACTTGAAAAGTACATTTTTAATTGAACCTGAACCTGAGCCAAGAATCGAAAAACAAGTTGTGTTATAAAAACAACATACCAGTCAAATTACTGTAAGTTTATTCCATTATGTGTAAAGTTTAAAAATAGACCTAAAAATGAAGTTCTTTGAAATGAATAGACAAAGTTTAGACAGATCTCATTTCTCAGGTGCTGTCAGTTGGATTTAGTGTTACAATGAAAGCAATTAACAGAGAGCTTCAACAAGCAGTGTTTGTTCTACAGTATTGTGACTTATTTTAGGAAATAAACTATAGTATAGGCTGTACCTCTGAAAACTGGCATTCTCTGCAGGACCGTGGATGCTCCTGAACCAGGGAGCCTTCTCTTTTCTAAATGAAACAAACCCAATTCTTTCAGCCTTCCGTCATAGGTCATGTTCTCTAGACCTTTAATCATTCTCGTTGCTCTTCTCTGGACCCTCTCCAATTTTTCCACATCCTTCTTGAAATGTGGTGCCCAGAACTGGATACAATACTCCAACTGAGGCCTAACTAGCGCAGAGTAGAGCGGAAGAATGACTTCTCGTGTCTTGCTCACAACATACCTGTTAATGCATCCCAGAATCATGTTTGCTTTCTTTCTTTAAGTGAGTTCAGTGGCAATCAATCAGAACTATGCAGTACAAATGTTCACATTAACATCAGGTTGACTGAGCCTCTGTTAAAAAGAAATACTGAGTAGCAGGAGTCTTTTTATTTACCTTATCTTTAAGGCTTGCACAGGGAAAGGTGACACACACACATTCCCATACACCTCTCCCACAGGAGGATGTGGATGACTAACCAACCTGACCCAACCTTTTCTACCCAGTGCTCTCCACCCTCCATGCTTGACTGGGTCTCTGGTGCAGACTCACCTCTTCTGGTACCTAGTGCTGTGTCTTTTCAAGGCAAAATACAGAGGGTCATGCAGGGTCACAGGACCCATCTCCAGATTTCTGTCAGGGTTCAGACCGGAACATAGCAACCAACAGCCTTTTGTCACTATGCAGGAGGCAGGAGATATAAGCTGTTTCCAGCTGAAACGGGGTGAGGGTAGGGATGATCTGACTCATGTATTTCCTAGAAGCAGCTTTTTCTTTCCTACTCTCACAGTGTAGAAATCCAGCCAACACCTCCAAGCTGCTGTTGGTCACTGACAACTCAGCTGCCTCCTGTCCCCGGCTAAGCATGGGCAGAAAAGGGTTAAGCCCTAAGGATGCATTGCGCTCCAGGGCTCAGAGAATCTGTCTGCAGCAGCTTCAGTTAACTGGGTCACAGTGGTTGTTCAGCAGAGGAAGGTACCTAGAGGACAGAGCAGCCTCACACACTTTGGGTCAGTGCCTAGGGTGGGGCGGGGAGGAGGGTAGCATATGAAGAGAGTGTTAAATGCCCCTGGTTGGGGACCTGCAGGGTCACAGCATAAACAGGCTGGAAATAACTTCCTCCTGCCTCTCCAGCTTAGCTGAGAGGCTGAGAAGCTTCCCTATGACAGTGCTGCGTAGGACCTTGGCACATTCAGGGCTTGACTCCTCTTGGCTGGCACCTAAGACCAAATAATCTTTTAGAGATTTCTTTGAGTACCAGCCCTGCACACTGCAGCTTTGCCAGACCACCAGTCTTGAACACTGACCCCATCATCAACCACTGGACTCTTCCCCATTCACCATTAGTGGATAGGTAGCAGGTGAGCAGGGATCTGGCCAGCAGTAGCACCCATCAGTACTGATGGGAGGGAAGAGTCAGAAAATATGGGACAATTTGCCCATTTTTTTTTAAAAGTAGGGACACCTGCAAGGGGTCTTAAATACGGAACTGTCCCTTTAAAAATGGTGAGCAGGCCTGTGGATCCTTAAAGATTAACAAAAATATATATTACTATGAGCTTTCGTGGGTAAACTCCATTTCATCAGATGAGTTGGAGTGCAAATAACAGAATCTGAAATATATATAATAGAAAAAGCATTTACCTGTGAATTACAGGACCTGTGTTAATGAAACTAATTAAGTAGGCAGAAAGTGGATACATCTACCTCCTCTTTAGTCCGGCTCCCTCGGGATCTGACATGTGGCAAACCAGAGAATGTGCTGAACCATGGGAGGTCAATATTGTATAGAGTGAGTTTCTTATTTTTATTTTGCCAAGGTGAATAAACAGACCAATGCTAGCAATGCTGCTTAGTAATGTCTTGGATTCTATTATTTCTACTCCAACTCACCTGATGAAATGGGTCTTACCTATGACATGCTGTGGAATTTGAAATCTGTACTCCTGCTTTTCATCAGAAGTAATGCTAACTCCAAAATAGTTATTTTGAAATAATGGTAGTATGCACGATCCAGTGCCACTATTTCAAAATAATTACTCCCCAGAGTTATTTGAACTAATTACTCCGCAGTGCTTCCTGGGACTCTAGTCCAAGATAGCACATCTACATTAACCGAGACTGCCTTGGACTAATTTCAAGGCTTCCCCGTAGTGTGGACATGCTAGTTCGAGTTTGTTAAATTGGGAGTTAAGTCGAATTTAGTAATTTTGAAATAGTTTCCTAGGTTAGACATGGCCTCAGGTGCCACAGGACTAATCGTTTTTAAAGTTACAGACTAACATGGCTACTCCTCTGAGACCTTTAAAAATGGGACATCTGATCATCCTATTAAAAGATAAGATTATACACCATAGTTTGGTATTCATCAGTAAAGTTACTCAAAAAAATATATAATTCATCAGTTTAATTTTAGTAATTTATAATGAAAGATAACTGAACAGGTTTTTTTAAATTTATACATTGTTGTTGTACCCCTTTTGGTCCCAGGATATTTAGTGAGACAAAGTGAATGATTTTATTTTTATTGATTATTATTTTTATGATTCTTTTATTGGACCAACTTGTGTTGGTGAGAGATGAGCTTTTGAGTTTACACTGAGCTCTTCTTTGGGGCTGGGAAACTTAGTGCCACAGCTAAATACAAGATGGAACAGATTGTTTGTTATGTGGTTATGCATATTTCAAGGGACCATTCAAGGTGAAGTGGACCATTAACATCCCTCCAGTCACAAAGAGGAAATGGGTGAAGGGAGAAAAAACCTTTCCTGAACCCCCTTTTCTGGCCTTCAAACAACCCCCCCCCCCAGTTTCTCCAGGCTCGCTGCCAGAAGCAAGGTCCCTACACAGCAGGATACACTAACTCAAAGTGGCACCAAATCCTGCCAGAACAATAGATTGAAAACCTGCAGAAATATTTCCACTGCTACAATGATCAACACCCACAACACACTTTTCAAGATCCAGGGGTCTTACACCTACTTATGACATGTGTCCCTTATCCAGTGCACTAAATACCCCAATAACAATTATGTGGATGAAATTAGATAATCGTGCTCTCAAATGAATGCATACAGGAAAATGATAAAAGGTAAAAACACCACATCACCTGCGGTTGAACACTTCACAAAACAATCACTCCATATCTGACTTATCCGTCCTCATTCTTAGAGAAAGTTGCATGATGGATCTGGGAGCTTGGTTATGCACTAAAAATGTGAACTGACAATATATATTGAATTTATACCTTATTACAACTATTTTAGACCCTATTAACAACTCCCCCAGAGCTGCTTCCCCTTTTCTTCCTATGACTAGAGAGCTGTTATTGGGTCACTTCACTTTGAGTGGTTCCTTGAAATATGCATTAAGTACTTATGTTAAACAATCTGTTCCATCTTAGATTTGGTTGTGACACTCTGAGGCCAAGTCTAAATTGTAAACTTACATTTGTATAACTTCATCACTCAGGTGTGTAAAAATACATACCCCTGAGCAATGGCATTACATTGACCTAACCTCTGGTGTAGACAGTGCTGTCGATGGGAAGACTTCTTCCAATGAGAGAGCTACCATCTGTGCCAATGGTAGAAGCTCTTCCATTGGTATAGTACTGTCTTCAGTGAGACACTACATCAACTTAGCTGCATTGTTTTTTACATCAATGCAGCTGCACTTCTAAAACCTGAAGAAGAGGACTGCACAAACTCAAAAGCTTGTCTCTCTCACCAACAGAAATTCATCCAATGAAAGATATTATGTCACCCATCTTGAGACAGCTTTTTTTAATGCATTAATCTTCCATGAATTATGGATTAAATTTTCCTCTTCACTACCAGGTAGTTAAATGATCTAAACTCTGACAGGTACTTGTGCAAATATTGCATTTTCCAGCAGTCACAAATGCAGTAAGATCAATGACAGAATGGGGAATCAGTTGAGAAATCATAGTAGAATTCACCATTCTGTCATTGATGTTATTTTATGATGTGCTTAAAGGAAATTATGTGCTCAGTTCCTTGTTCATTTCCATACACAACACTGCAATGAAAAGTAAATGCATAAGTTATGGCAGATGATTACACTATCATTGTATCCATTTACTCTGCATTACAATGCATTATAGCAAGGGGAATGAATACATGAACCTTACTGTACTGACAGTTTTCCTACATAGTTGTATATGGAAAAAGAAAAGGGACTGGGTAGAATGGTTTACAAACCCCATATTGAGCATAGGTAAAAAGAAAGGAGAGCATTACTTGCTTCCAGGCAATCAGGCTGCCCATATCCTGGCATAGCCACAAGAACAGCCAGTTGTGGAGGCATTTGCACACACCTGTGGCCAATTAAGAAAACAAGTGCAGCTATAAAGGAAAGAGAACAGCAAGAGACCTGCAAATAGAAACACCTGCAATGGTGGAACTAAAAGCTCTACTCCAGGTTGTCTCGTTGGACTTGTCTACACTTGAAAAAGTTACATCAGCACAACTGCACCTGTCTCACTATAGTGCTTTAGTGTAGATACTACCCATACCTACAGGAGGGGTTCTTCCATTGGTATAGGTAATCCACATCCTCAAGGAGCATTAACTGGGTTGACAGAAGAATTCTTCTGTTGACCTACCAGTGCCCACACTTGAGGGTATGTAGGCTTAACTGTACTGCTTAGGAGTGTGGTTTGGCAGCCCCCTGAGCAATGTAGCTAAGTTGACTTAATTTTCTAGTGTAGACCAGTCCTAAGAAATGGATACAGAGTCAAAGGACACTGCAAGTCCTGGAATGTAAGGGCTAAATTACTTTTTTTAGGGCAAATTGATAGAGTGGGCTAACTGGAGATTAACAGAGGAAGACCAGTTAGCAAAATAGAGACCTGTAAAGAGATTGCCTCAAGAGAAGTTTACAATTGGTTAAATGTCATAATTTTGGCAATTGTGGAGCATACATCCTGAAATGGGATCAGTTGTAGAATGTTCATTTGTACTGAAAATTACAGCAGGACACTGTACATTAAAAATAGACAAAATGAACAAGATTTTATGTGAACAGTGGGGAAGAGGATGATCCTGTAAAGAAAGCAATAAATGTCAGAGCTAACAGCAAGGCAATCTCCCAACACAGCAGGCAATTAACTACACCTCACGTTAGCCTAAAAACAATTTGGGCATATTTAATTGTACTTTGTGCAATATCTTTACCAAACAGTGATTATTTTCACAGGCTTGTTAATTTTGATATTTTTTCTTCCTCCCTTTGACAGATCTATTTCACAACCCTCTGTCACAAGATCCAGGGTACCGCCTTTATGTCATATACTTCCTTCCTTCAGTACAACTCCTCGACAGGAAGAGTAAGGACTGCTTTCCTCTTTTCACAGTGCATTGACATTCACGTATGACTTCAGTCCATTTAGAAAAGTAGATGAATTCTCCCTGTGACTGATCTCCTTCTTCCACTTGCTAATATACCAAAACATATTATGAATTTAATTCAATTAATTGTGAGATTTTGCATGCATGTTGAATTTTTATTAATTAAACAATTTGCTTCTTGATATTAGACCTTTCATGTTGAAATTGACTAAAAGATGTGGCTTCTTTGCTATTTAAAAATGTGTGTCTCTATTCTGAGATCCATTTGTCTTACATAAAATTCTGTGGAACACATTGAAGAGAGGTTAATGTCAGTGTTCAGAAATATGCACGTTCACTACAATGTCTAGTTTTTCATTTTGTGCTCATCCAGAGGTCTGCCCACCTTTTTAGAAATTAAATAAATGTTTGCACATTTCTTAATTGAACTTATCCACATAAAACTGGCAAAGCCACTAGAAATAAAACTATCAGCCATAAATCCCTTGTAGCAACCCCTCAAGATAAAACCTGGGAAAGAGGGGCTCTATTTTGCCACCATTACTCTTGAGAATATACAAAAGTAAATAAAATACTAAGTTAAGGACTTGGTCAGGTAGTTTCTTGTAGCTGCCACAGAAGAAATAGATCTGGCTGGCTCGGCCACTGGACTCCAACAGGGCTCTGGCCTCCTTTTTTATACTTCTGCTCCCACCTTTCTGTTTCCTATGGGAGGGGCTGGGTTGTTCTGGCACCACTCAGCAAGGGATCTTAGGGAGTGTTTCCCCTTCCAGGTCAGTGGGAGGCCATGCTGACTCACTAGAGTCCCCTTCAGTCTTCTCTTCTCCAGACTACACTCAGCATTTTCACTCTTTCTATATATATCATGTTTTCTTGACCTTTATTTTTGTTGCTCTCCTATAGACTTTCTCCAGTTTGTCTATATCTTTCCTGAAGTGTGATGCCTTAGAACTGGACACAGTACTTCAGTGCAGGCCTTATCAGTGTACATTTAGCTTTGTACAGAATAACTTTTTCAGTATTCATAGAATCATAGAACTGGAAGGGACCTCAAGAGGTCATCGAGTCCAATCCCTGTCCTCACAGCAGGACGAAGCATTGTCTAGATCATCTCTGACAGGTGTCTGTCTAACCTGCTCTTAAATATGTCCAGTGATGGAGATTCCACAACCCCAGTAGGCAATTTATTCCAGTGTTTAACCACCCTGACAGTTAGGAAGTTTTTCCTAATGTCCAACCTAAACCTCCCTTGCTGCAATTCTGCACAACTTTTCTTATTATTGCGATGAGAATCATTGCTGGATGGAGAACTGGCTATTTAATCTGGGAAAAAACATATTGATATTTACCAAATCCAGGAACAATCTTGTTAAATTCATTGATTTAATCTTCCTTTAAGTAAACCATAGCGTAATTATCATTCCTTAATTAAGAATTTAGGCTTTAATTTAACCAAACTTTACGCTTAACTGTCATTTTGAAATTATTTCTTTAATATTAACTCCTCTCTGTGGAACATTACTAAAATATACTCCTGTTTTCCTCATTTATGCAAGACACTTAGTCACACTTTTGTTACCTCCAAGTATAACTACTGCAGTTCCTTTTTATTTGGTCCCTTAGACATCAATATTAAAATATTTCAGTGAATTCAAAATGCTGCTGTTTGAGTTTCATGTTTTGAGACTTTAGTTTACATTTATCCCAGTTCAGAAATGTTGAGATTAACAGATAGTGCTTATTTTTACTGACCAAATCCTCCTTTTGATTTACACATGTAACTATTCTGTTTAAAATTTACAAATAATCATCACACAGATGATCAAATCAGTAAAATGAAGATGCAAAACTTTCTGATTGTACTCCTACAACTTTCTGTAAGTGAGTGGTGGGAATTATTAATGACTTAGAACTGGAATTCTGTTTTATTGTGGATGTGGAATCTTACAGTTTAAGACTTCATTTGGTTCTCTAATACAGTAAAACTCCAATTGTCCAGCATCCAGTGGTCCGGCACTCCTGTTAGTCCAGCACCAACTGGAACCCAGAAGTGCTCCAGCCAGCCGGACAATTGGAGCTGCTCTGCCCCCGGCTTCCCCAAGTCCTCCGCTGGTCAGTTTCAGCAGTGGTGGACTTGGGGAAGCCCTAGGGCAGAGCGCCCCAGCTGCTCTGACCCCGGCTTCCCCAAGTCCAACGCTGGTCAGTTTCAGCAGCGTCTGACTTGGGGAAGCCAGGGGCAGAGCAGCTGGGGGGCTGCCGGGTTGGTCTCGCAGCGCCGAGGGACGCATCCCCACCACTCCATCCCATCCCCCCCCCCCAGACCTCTCATAGCCCCCCTTCCGGTACTCCAGCGTATCTGATAATCTGGCACCCCCTGGGTCCTAAAGGTGCTGGATTATTGGAAGTTTACTGTATAATGTATTTAAACACCATGCAAACAGAGTCTAAAGGTGAAATCCAGGACCCAATTAAATTAATGGGAGTTTGGTATTGACTTCAGTCTGATTAGGATTTCACTGTAAATCTTTAGCCGGTGTAAGCAAATATCTCTCTATATCAAAGAACGCAGAGCTTTACAGATTTACACCATCTGATGATCTGGTCATAAATCTATAGAGAAAATAATCTTCTTTCGAATATAAGTAAGGAGCTAAGCTTAGATTTTATTCATTGGTATAGAAAGGGTAACAGTGTTTATTTCCCATTTAACAGAAGTTACTCAAAAAGAAAGGGAATCAGCTTTACATATTTACAACCATGAAAGGTCCTGTGTTCTCCAGTCTATAGGTTTTGGAAAAAGAATAGATATACCTTTGGTGGCTAAAACAGTGTCTACAAGAAGCATTCCACATGTCAAAAGTTTCCTGCTGTCTCCAGGTATTTATAATGATTTAGGGAGAAACCTATATTTCCAGGTAATTTGAATTAAAAATAATTTTTACCAAGTTGGTTGTAAAATTAATTAGATTTAATAATGAAATAGATGGGCTTTATGAAAACCAGACTGCTTTATTACTTAAACTGTGCAAAATGCAGTGAATGGTTCCTTTCTACTAATTGTATATTGCACTTCGTGTTTTAATCAAACTCTGGAACAGCAGAATTGCCTTTAAGGCAGCTACTCAAAAAAGACAGTTACCTATTCTGTAAATAGTGTTCTTCAAGATATGTTGCACATGTCCATTCCACATTATGTGTATGTGTTCGCCATCTGCACCAGTTTTTCTCTTAGCAGTATCCATAGTGGAGTAGCTCTCCCCTATCCATAAGGGACATCATTCTCTCCTCCATTCTCAGCTCCTTCTTATTAAAAATACCAACAGTAGGGAAGGAGAGCAGGCCATGGAATGGACATGATCAACACATATTGAAGAGCACCAGTTACAGAACAGGTAACTGTTTTTTTTTTCTTTTGAGTGCTTGTTCATAACCATTCCACAATAGGTGATTCCAACTAGAATCTGTGGAGGCAGATAAGAGTTCATGGCCATGTTGACTGTATAATACCTCTGAACCCAGCATCATCTCTGGCTGCTGACTGATGGCATAGTAAGACATGAACGTATGGACCTAGGACCATGTTGCAGCTTGTACAGATGTGTTGGATTGGCATGTGTTCCAGGAAGACCACAATGATGCCTGCACTCTGGTCACATGGGCCTGGATAACTGACAGCGGAAGAACCTTTGCTAGTTTGTAGCAGGTCCATATGCAAGAGGTAATCCAGTTGAAAATCCTGTGAGATGAAACTGGAAGGCCCTTCATCCTAACAGTAGTAGCAAAAAAATCTGCGTTGACTTGCAGATGAGCTTAATATTTTTTAGATAAAAAGCCAATGACCTTCTGACATCCAAGGCACATAAATGCTTCTCTTCCACTTTCTTTTGAGACTTGGGGCAGAATACAGGCAGGAATATGCTCTGGTACACATGGAACGAAGAAACCACTTTTGGCAGGAAGGCCAGGTGGGATTGTAGCTGGACCTTGTCTTTATGGAAGACTGCGTAAGGCAGTTCCTAGACTAGAGCAGAGCTCTTAGCTTCGAGACCGGTCACAGCCTCTAGAAATGCAACCTTCCAAGACTAGTGGGACAGGGAGCAGGAAGCCAGCTGTTGAAGAGTAAACTGGTGAGCTAAGGGAGGACCAGTTTGTGGTTCCACACAGGGACATGGTCTCTTAGCTGAGGGTAGTGTTGCTCGAGACCCCTCAGGAATCTGACCATCATGTCATGAGACAACTGGTCTGTCCCTGAAACAACTGGTGGAACATAGAGAGGGCTGCTAGGTGTACTCTGATGGAAGAATACGCCACACCCTGGTTCCTGGGCTGCCGCATGTAATCTGGGATGGACGTCACCAGATAGCATGAAGGGAAGATACCATGTTCTGATGCCCAGTAGGAAAACATCATCCATTTGGCATATAAGTCAGTCTAATGGATGGCTTCCTGCTTCTCAAGAGGATCTACTGGATCTCCTGTGAGCAAGTACTCTTCTCCATGCTCAACCACGCCAAGAGGTGCAGAGACTTAAGGCTGGAGTGTAGGAGCTGACGGTGGTCCTGAGACAGGAGGTCCAGATAGTAGAGAAGGGTCCAGTGTGGGCTCACCGCCACGTTCATGAGTCTGCCATGCCAATACTGGTGACACTGATGACAATAACCTGTGCCTTATTTCTCTTGATCTTTACTAGGACACAGCTAATGCAAGGGATTGGCAGGAATGGCATCAGACCGTTGGTCCATAACCAGAGGAAGACATCGGAGAGGGACTCCTTGCCTAGGCCCCGTTGGAAGCAAAACCAGTGGCAGATTCTGTTTTGCCTGGTGGCAAACAGATCGCCTTGAGGAGTTCCCCACCTCTGGAAGATCAAGCAGGCCACCTTTGGGTGAAGTGACTACACGTGGTGAGAGGAGAAATCCCTGCTGGGGTGATCTGCTAGGTCATTTCTGATGCCCAGGAGATTTTCCAGATGGATGTTGGCTGATGTAGAAGTCCCAGAGATCGAGAGCCTCTTGGCACAGAGCTGACGAGTGTTGACCAGAAGCCCCAAAGAGTGATACATAGCTGGAGGACTTCTATGTCATGCTGGGCCTGTCCCTTAAAGTTGCCTTTGAGAAGTCAGTTGTTAAGATATGGGTAAATTTGGATACCTCGGAATCTGAGATATGCTGCAACTACCACCATGAACTTGATAAACACCCTAAGTGCCATTTCCAGAAGGGACAAGCACAAATTGATAGTAGGACAAACTCACCATAAAACATAGGAAGCACCTGTGCCCCAGGAAGATTGCCACATGAAAGTTTCAGTCTTTCATGCTGAGGGCGGCATACCAGTTTCCCAGATCCAGGGATGCAATGATGAGGGCCAGAGAGACCATAAAACAGTTTAGCTTCTGTAGGTGCTTGTGAGGTCTGGAGGACCTAGAAAGGGATGCTTGCCCTTTGGGATCAAAAAATACTGGAAATAAAAACCATTATTTTGGTATGGAGGTGGAACCACCTTCACCACTTCCAGCTGCAGAAAGCCTCTGAACTTTCTGCTCGAGAAGGTGATCGTGAGAAGGGTCCTCGAAGAAGGACAGGAAGTGGGACCAGCAGGTGAAAATAAATTGGAAGATGTAGCCATGCACTACTGTGCTGAGGACTCAGTGGTTTGAAGTTAGTACTGATGATGCACAGAGGAAGTGGGAAAGGCGATTGCCAGAAAACTGGATCCAGTGAAAGGTCCAGTCTATATCCTTGGGCATATCCTCAAAACAGTTGTTTTGCCCCTTGCTTGGGGCAGGCTGAGCCTGATGGGGTGGAGGGGGTTGATGGCCTGAGCACTGCTTTTTAGCTCTTAGGCTTCTTATGTTCTGGATCCTGACAAGGCTGACTCCCTTGACCCTGAATTGGTTGCAGTTAAACCATTTATGCTCTAGTCCCAGCCACTAGCATTGCAAGATTTTAAGGATGAAATGGGAGTCTTTTACCCCATGTCGTTTGGTATCCATCTACTCTGCAAAACAGGGCCTGGCTGTCAAAGGGGAGGTCCTGAATTGACTGCTGAACTTTGGTGGAGAATCCTGAGAGAAACAGAGGTCATGATGTGAGCAATGGAGTCCATAGCATCAGATGCCACCAGGAGAGTTGCTTTTGGGGTGGCTGTGCTCTCATTTAGGATCACCAGGAACTCCTTATGCAAGTACTCTGGGGCTATGTCTACACTCGCGGCTTCTTGTGCGAGAAATATGTAAATGAGGCAAAGCATGGAGTATTGCAGAGCCTCATTTGCATACCTAATGAGCTGCCATTTTTGCAGAAGAGGCTCTTGCGCCAGAAGGAGCTGTCTACACTGTCCCTTCTTGTGCAAGAAAACCCCTCTTACGCAATGCTGCTACGCCGATTATTTTCAGGAATAACGGCATTGCGCAAGAAGGCTTTTCTTGCGCAAGAAGGGGCAGTGTAGACAGCTCCTTCTGGCGCAAGAGCCTCTTCTGCAAAAATGGCAGCTCATTAGGTATGCAAATGAGGCTCTGCAATACTCCATGCTTTGCCTCATTTACATATTTCTCGCACAAGAAGCCGCGAGTGTAGACATAGCCCGAGAGAGCACTCTTGAACTTGACTGTGCTCTGCCACATATTAAAGACATACTGACCCAGCAGAGCCTAATGGTTGACCACTGCCAGCTGTAGGCTAGACCAGTGTTTCTCAACCTTTTTTTTTTAAATAAAGTACCTCTTTTTCAAAAAAAAATGATAAGTACCCCCAGTACCTACAGTTTTCGGACGCACAATTTTTTTTTCTACCATTGCAACAAATGTGTTTAAACAACTTAATCATAGCTGAATGAATGATGAAATTTTTGGGTGTAGAAAGTACAAAAATAATAAAGCGCTGTAAAGCTTAAAACAAAAATTCATTTTCTCCAAATATCAGTTGTGTTGACATACCTCCCAGACTTCTCTTAAGTACCCCTAAGGGTACTCGTACCACTGGTTGAGAAACACTGGGCTAGACAAAGAATAAATCTTATGTCCCAAAAAGTCCAACCTCTTGGAGTCTTTATTTTTGGCATTAGTTCTGGGCTGCCCCTTTTGTTCTCTGTGGTTAACCACCTAAATTATGAGGAAATTCGGGGCATGGTGGGAATAAAGGTATTAGTGGCTCTTGGACAGGACAGAGTACTTCTGCTTTGACCATTTAGAAATGGGAGGCAGGGAGTAGGGAGGTTGCCACCAAGCATTAGTAATCTTTGAAACCCTTTTGTAAAGGGAAAGACTGACCAGAGCAGGGGCTGTGGAGGAGAGGACACCAAAGAGAGAGTCCTGCTCCTCCTGGAGACTTGATCCTGCAACTCCTCAATCTGCAGGCTGAGGTTGGAAGCGACCCTCTTCAATCGTTCCTGGTGGGTCTTGGCATGATCCTGAGGAACAGGGTGAGGGCCAAGGGTCCTCATGATAACCTTGTTTGGCAACAACAGAGGGAGCCAGTACTATGTGACATATACTGCCCATTGGTGGTTCACTGATTTGATCTTTGTCCACATGGACTTTGGTGGGGGGGGGGTCTTTTCCCCTATGGCTTTAGGTATCGGCGGGGGCTAGGTTGTTGAAACCACCGGCCTTTTTCAGACTCCTGGCACCAAGCAGGCAGGCTGGGAGGGCTGAGTGAACCCCCCCTGTCATCCAGGGTATCACTGGACCGGGGGTTGACGGTTCCTGTCTTCTGAGTGATCATATGAATTGTTACATCAGCCAAGCAATACGAGAAGTCAGTCCCAGTGCTCATGCTGGCGTGTGTGTGCCTTCAAAGGTCTGTGCCAAGTAACCAGTGAAATTCATCTCAACTCCCTCGGCTAATGCCAGGTGGGAAACTGGAGAGGGCTCTGCTATGACTGCCTCCCCAAGTCATATTGACTTCCAGGAGGGGACTGGTGCTGGGATGTCCCTTGCAATGAGGAACAGTACCACTGAGATGAGGGAGGATGGAAGGGTCCCAGTGATGTCTTATCCCTAAGTCTGGGCACCACTTGGGCTGGTGGGGGTGGCACTGAAAGCTACAGGATCTCCTGCACAGCCTGGAGAGCTTTGGGCATCAACAGCATCTCTGTGTCTGGGCTTCCAGGCAAGGAATGGAATGGGCTGCACCACTCACCTTGAGCTGGGGTCCAACTTTGCAGAAAGATGAACTGCCCAGTGGGGGGTCTTAGGTTGGTTTGGACCTGATCCTTCCTGTTACAAAGAGGGAGACTGACCCCTACTGTCCTTATTGGTTTTCTTGGCTGGAACCACAGATGGCCATCATTGCCTGCTTGTTACAGGGCTGGGTGCCAAATCAGACCACTGCTTCGAGTGCCCGAATGAGCACTCAGGAGCACTCTAAAGTCTAATTTCTCACCACTCCTTAGTCCTTGGCTTAAAAGACTCACAAAAGCAACACTTGTCACGTGTCCTTCTCCGAAGCACCTAAGACAACTACTATGCAGGTCACTGATGAGCATATACAGCAGTCGCAGCTTTTAAAGATTTAGGTCCGGGCCATGCCCTGTCCCCTGGATAAGTACAAGGTGGGACTAACATATTTGAACTACTGCTAAGATACTAACAACACAAACTATTTACAGCAAGTTTCTCTGAACAAAGCCTAAGCAACGCTAGAGCAGCAAGTGTTCTGTGCACCATGACTTGTGGCAAAAAGGAACTGGGGGGGAGGTGGGAGTACCCAGCAGCCATTATACTGTACAATGAAGGTGCCTTTTCAAGGGTCACCAGAGCTGCTCCCCTACAGGTACTGCTGAGGGAAAAACATCTGACACCAGTGCATGTAGCAAATGCACACTTCTAACGTGGAGTGCATATGAGCAAGCACTCAAAGAATAGCATTTCATTGTCTTTTCAACATGCATTCTAATTTGTGCTGAAGTTTTTATTCACATTTTCTGTCTAAATAGATTTAACAGGGAAATGAATTTTTCCATGGTATCCGTGCATGATTATGAATGTTTGTATGCAGTGTTGGTTTAGTCATGTCAGTCACAAGATCCTAGCAAGACAAGGTGGGAGAGGTAATATTTTGTATTGGACCAACTTCTGTTGGTGAGAGATAAGCTTTGTGTGTGACAGCTTGTTTCTCTCAGCAACAAAAAGTTGATGCAATAAAATACATAACCTCATCCACCTTGTCTCATGAATATATGTCACAGAGATCAGGCAATTTAGAGTTTTGGTGCCCTCTGGTGCTTGTTTGACATTGTAGACCGTTTCAGTATTCTGAAGGAAAGAATTTTTCTCCCAAATTGTGTTGCAGATGGTGCATCAGCCTTTTCTACAGCGTTTGGATACACAAAGCCTCTAAGACTGCATCCTTCTACTTAAAATATTACAGAAGTATACGTATTAGAAATAGCCTTCATACAAAAGTTTGATCTTCAGCAGACTTACATGTTGAACACTTCTCACTACATATTTTATGTGTAGATTTTTAAAATGTGGTTTTGCTTTGAATTGTGAATTTCTAAAATGTGGCAAATTAGCACGTCATATTTCTTAGGTTTCTAAAGCTGTGTCTACATTGGCAAGATTTTGCGCAAAAGCGGCCGCTTTTGTGCAAAATCTTGCCGCCTGTCTACACTGGCTGCGAGAATTTGCACAAGAACACTAATGCTGTAATGTACAAAATCAGTGCTTCTTGCACAAATGCTTGGTGTCGGGTCCCATCCTGGCACCGCGGTTCGGAGAATTCTCATGGCCGTGCTCTGCTGGACCGCGCATGCACGGCTTCCCAGAAGCGCCGTTCGCGCCTTTGATCAGCCGCGCGCGGACCGGCAACCGTCAGTTCCTCTCAACCGCCTTAGGTCGCCATCGGAGCTCCCCGTGTTCTTCTATGTTTCTTCTCTCAGAAACAGTCCTAGCTAGATTTTTCATCTGTAAATAGTTAGAAGTTTTACTGTTAGTCATGTTCCTGTTCTACTGTAAAAAAAACCAAAAGAACAAAACACAACCACTTTTCTGTTCAGAATCACTGTTCTTTTGAAAGCGGTACAGCTAAGCACTAAAGAACTGAAATTGACAAAGCAGCGAAAGCGGGGATCAAATAAGTATTCAGCCACCCTTACCAGCCCTGACAAAGCCAGGGTCTCCAGGTTTTAAAAAATGCTCAGTTTGCGGTGAAGCCATGCCGGCAGCTGACGGCCATGACGCTTGCATTCGGTGCCTGGGGGCAGTACACGTCCTCCAGAAGTGCACCCATTGTAGCAAGCTCACATCGAGGGCCCGGAGGGCGTGGGAGATGAAGGTCCGAATGATGGCGTTCAGTAAGGTCAGGCCAGAGCTCCCCAGCCGTACCTGCCTTTCTCCAGCACTGCTTTGTCTTGGGAAGCCTCCTAGCTTCTTTAGCAGCCAGGTCCTTCCTGCTCCCCAGATAGATCAAGAGCATCTCCCCCTTTGTCCCTCCTGGAGCCCTTATTTATGTAGCCTCAAGTGGGCCCTAATTGGTTACTATCTGCCACAGCTGTGGTCTTTGCACTCAGTCCTCTCTGAGGGCTGGGTTTTAACCCTTAAAGAGCCAGTGTAGGGGTAGATGCCCCTTCACAGGTGGAAACAGAGGAAGCCTGTAATTTTTTAAAAATTTGAAATCACCTGGCATCCATTATGCATCCCACAATGCATAGCACGGAAAATCCCAGAATGCATACTGCTTAGCAGTAAAGCAAAGGATAAGGGGATACATAGTGAGGCTTGTGTATTTCTCATTACCTAATGCATATCAAAAAGTTGCAGGGTAATCCTTTCCCCATAGTAGACAAACACTGAAATATGATCCTGGAAATTCTCCTTTTGCACCTGTGAATTTAATGGAGCAAAAATAGTTGAAACTTTCTTTAACCACTGGGGTAAGCAGAGATAACTCTGAAGCACTGTTACACATTTACTTTAGTAAGTTCTATCACTGTAATGCTGGAGGCAATTTTAAATATACAGGAATTTGTTAAGAGTTGTTGAAATATTTGCTTCAGCAATGCAGTATGGCACTGATATAGTGAAGCATGTGATTAATATTAAGCATGTGAATTAGTCTGACTGGAGTTAGCCTATACTCTGCCTCACACATTCTTAAACAGAAAAATATGGAACTCATGAATAATTGAAAATGGATTTATGTTATAACCAAAATGATAACTTCTTTTTGCACAGCTGCAGTTTCTTTCCTACCAACAGTGGATACTCTAGTAGTAGAGAAAGGCTGTGGGTGATTCTGTTGTCATATTATCTGAGCCTGTTCTAAAAACTCTCATGCCCTATCTACAGTACTGCATTCACTATTGGTAAAAATACTTAACATTTTTCCAATTGTAGACTTAACATCATGTAGTTGGTTATAATAAACAAATTTCAGGGGGTTCAGAGTGCTAAATTTGGACCTGAAAATAAGTTAATTGTAAGTGATTTTGAGAGTAACATTTTGCATAGTTTAAATCATATGCAGAACGACTATAAGATTTACCATTTTAGAAATTATTAATGGGTTAAACAGACACTTCAGTTATTTTAACCTTTTTCTGTATAGTTCACAAGCACTCCTGAGAAGTTAGAAACTGAAATCTTTGAACTATGTATCTTTTTCTTTATCATATGTTCACATTGCTTTGTTATTGGAGGGTTGGTGCTATCACTTTTTTTTGTAAAGAAAAAGTGTATGATAGCATTTATTTGGAGAAGGTAAAACATGAATAATTACACAACATTAAAAGAAGAAAACATTTAATAACCAGTAAGCAATAGTTTATACTTCAGTTTAACTGCTAATATTCAGTAGTAATGGCTAGCACTCCGAGGTGAATTGATTTTTGTACCATTCAAGTCAATGGGAACTAGAAACTGTAGTTCTTAAATAGTTGAAGTGTTGTACAAATAATAACTATTATAACTTGTTTCAGGTTATGAAGTTGCAAATCACATAAATAAGTAAGTATTTTGCTTGTGCCTCTTTTTGGTTTTGCACATTATAAGTATTCACTCAATCCTCTCTGCCTCCCTCTCCCCCCCCCCCCCCACCTTTTAAAAATATTCTGCTCTTTTTTGTTGTGTTATAACAACTGTGTCCATTTATGATGAGACACTCCACCTGCTGCTATCTTCAATGCGTTTTCAGCAGTACTGCTGATTAAGAAGCAAGGTGTATGATAAAATGCAGTTCATTTTCTAATATCAAACACTAAGGCTATGTCTACACTACAGACTTCTTGTGCAAGAAGCTTTTTGCAGAAGAGATCTTCTGCAAAAACTTCTTGTGCAAGAGAGCATCCACCCAGCAAAAGCGCACTAAAAAAGTGATGCGCTTTTGTGAAAGAGAACATCCAGATTGCTTGGATGCTCTCTCGAAAGGAAACTCTGATTGCTATTTACAGAATGGCCTTTTTTCAATTGCTTCTTTTTGTGCAAAAAGACCCTGTTCCCCATCCACACGCACCTTTTTTCGCAAGAGCTCTTGCGCAAAAAGGAGTTATTCCTTGAAGAAAGAGGAATACCTACACTGCAAAAACTGCTCTGTTCTTTTGTTTCACTTGTGCAAAAATGAACGCCAGCTGTGGATGCTCTGCAAAAAACGCTGTAGTGTAGCTCTAGCCTAAATCCTACAAATATTATACGTTAATGTGTTAAAACAGCAGAGTATTTCTACTATAATATGGATGAAGCAATTTCCTTTTAACTGCCTATATTTAAATAGGCACCTTCCCGGAAAGAAGGCTGCACTGTGGAATGAAATTTCTCAACCCACAAATTTTTTTGGCTTCTTCATGTATCATACAGATAAACATAAAACTTAGTTCTCTTGGTGTGTGTTGGGGGAGGGAAAAGGATATTAATGCTGAGAGATATTTGGATGCAGTTTTTTATGAGACTCCTTTGCAAGTTATTTTAAGAGTTCATGTTTTATTTTATCAGTGAGCAACATTGAGTAGCTGTTTTAAACATAGACATTGTTGAAAAATATATTTGTAAAATTAGCATGTATATATGTAAGTGCACATAACCTCACCACCTTTTCTTTTAACAATCTGGCTACGTCTACACTGGTGCGTTCTTCTGCAAAAACTCTTTTGCAGAAGAGTTCTTCTGCAAAAACTCTTCCAGAAGAGAGCGTCTACACTGGCATGTGCTTTTGCGCAAGAGCTGTGCATTTGCGCAAGAGCATCCATGCCAGTGTAGATGGCCATTTTAACCATAGGTCGGTCTTGTGCAAGAAATTCATGTTGCCTGTCTATACTGGCCTTTTCTGGAAGAGCTCTTGCGCAAGAGGGCTTATTCCTGAGCAGAAGCGTCAAGAGTTCTCGCGCAAGAAGCACTGATTTTATACATTAGAACATCAGTTTATTTGCGCAAGAACATGTGGTCAGTGTAGACAGGCAGCAAGCTTTTGTGCAAGAGCAGCCGCTTTTGCGCAAGATCGTGCCAGCGTAGACACAGCCTCCTATGTATACGTACCTATCACTTAGAGCAGGGGTGGGCAATAATTTTTAAAGAAGGGGCAGGGCCTCTGGCAGAAGGGGTGGAATCAGGAGACTTCTTGTGCTCCTCTGCCCAGCTACCCTGATTGGCCTGGGGGCAGGAGAGCATGTGAAGTCTTTGCCCTCCCACCCCACAGCTACTAGAGAGACTCGCCAACTGTTTTAAACCAGCTGGCAGTTCCCTCTAGGCACCATGGCAGAAGGAGACTTCGTGCACTCCTCCTGCCCCCACGCCAATTAGGGTCTGGGGGTGGGGGAACGCATGAAGTCTTTGTTTCCTGCCCCCACCCTGCTATGGGTACACGGCAGCTAGAGAGAACTGCCAGCTGTTTTAAAACAGCTTATGGTTCCCTCTGGTGCCACGATGCCCTCTGGCAGGGAGAGGAGACTTCATGCGCTCCCTCTGCCCCCAGGCCAATCAGCGTCTGGAATGCAAAGTCTCTCAACCCCTACCCCCACCCTGCTAGGGGTACGTGGCAGCTAGAGAGAACTGCCAGCTGTTTTAAAACAGCTGACCTGCAAAGGCTCTCATACCTACCCTCACTTAGGCTACGTCTACACTGCACTCTCTTGCGCAAAAACATATGCAAATGAGGCAAAGCGTGGAATATAGATTTCAGACGCGCGCCCCGTTCATTTGTGGCATGCACATGCGCAATGTGGCTCTTGCGCATGCGCAGTACGGGGCTGGCAAGCGGTTTTTGCCACCGTTTGTCAAGCCCTACAAATGAGGCACAGCGATATTCCATGCTTCACCTCATTTGCATATTTCTTGAATAAAACAGCACAGTGTAGATGTAGCCTTAGAGTATACACTGCACAATTATGCAAAACAAAAGGAAAACAGAGTTCTGTGCTAGTTTCAATACCACTCTGCTTGCTGCATGTACTTGTTATTTTTAAATACTTAGCTCCTAGATTCCATAAGCACATGCTTAACTAAAAGCACTAGAGTGGACCTACTTACATGATTAAAGCTAGGCACATGCTAAAGTGAGTGCATGCCTTTATGAAAAACGTTTTCTATTCTGTGTTGATACTTTATCCAACACTTGAGCACCTATTTATGAGAGTGATTATATTACTGAGTTTTTTTCTCCCTCTACTCACTGATTTTATGAGTCTATAGTTCACATCTTTCATGGTACAACTAACGTATGACATATCCATAATCTTACGTAGTTTCAGTTTTTGGATTAAAAATCTCCTGATCTGAAGCTTGCACCTTCATTATCTAGAAGAATCACAATGAAATAAACATCAGTTGCATTTGCCTAAATGTGTGATCACTTACATCGGCATCAGAGACCATAAATGCAGTGTAATGATTAAGATTTTACATGTAGAAGAGTAAAAAAATGCAGTTATAATTCCTATTGTAACCATATATACACAGAACTATATTCCTGTGTACAAATGTAGAAATATGAAAGCTAACTATGAGCAATTAATATGATATTAATATTCTTTTTGCATTAAGTTCATTTGCATTTTAAAGTTAAGGAAAATACATTTTAATGACTTTCCTGATGTATTTAGTGTATGAAGCTCATTTTATTTGGATTTCCTTGACACTACCTCTTTTTGAATCTCCTAGGTTGTGTGCCATTTTTATGCAATGTTTTAGAGAGGAAGCATACAAAGAATTTTATTTCTTGATTATAGATTAGTCTGTTTAATCAATAATTGCCTCTAACATTACTTTCCACAAAACTGTTTCTAGCAAATTAATTCCAAAGTGGTTAGGAAAATTGTTTTTATCATGTCAGTTATTTATATATATATATATATTTTTTTTAGAATTCCATTTGAGAACCCAGAAGATGCCATTTTTGTGAGGGCAATGAAGAGATCAATAATGGAATTTTCCTCTGTTGATTGGAATAAAATATCAACTGGTCTAGGAAAACACCTTGAAAACAAAGCAGAAGAACCCCCTGAGAAACTGACAGTCAAATTCAGATAACTGTTTGGTTCTGTAGGAAAATATGTGCCTACATGTTGGATATTAGACTTTTATTGTAAGTTAATATCCATAAGACATGTATGCTATAACTAATACTTGATTAAACAAACTTTCAGCAGGCAAATTCTAAATTCATTTCCTTTAACCCGAGTGTGGGGATTCCATGATAAAGGTTGGAAAATACAGGTCATAGGTTTGTGGTAACATTATAATGTTGCCATTAATTGAATTCTCCTCGGTACCATACTATCTGTTGTGACAGATTAAAAGCAAACCTGTACATTAAGTTTTAGGATACTAAGGATGAATATATTAATCTTTGATGTTCTTTGTGATTGATCGCCTCTTTTCTAAATTAATGAGACGTCTCTCACTTTTAGTTTCCAATACCACTGAATTGGATTAAGGCTTCACACAGCCTGTCTCTTTCCTAGTTGTAGTCACTGCAAGATTCTCTGTGTATAAGCTTGTTGTAAAATCCTGTTCCCAACTTCTTCTACAAACTACTTTTTCCTGTACTGATTGCTGTTTCAAAGGAGCTTACTGAATGTAATATACTCACTAATTGTGTCTCATTTGAAATCAGATTGCAAGATCTTTGGCATCTTCATAAGATGTTTACACAATTCCTAGCACAAATGGAGCCCATAGCCCAAATCCTCAGCTCCTGGAGTGCTGCTGTTTGCACAGGACCTGATTCGCCCCCACCCCAGCTCAGTATTTTCCCAACTGTAGAACTTTTTAATGAAGCCCTGTGAAAGCAAGAAGAAACTTTGGTTGTCAGAGTGAAAGGTAAAATTGCTTTATGTGCTGTAAAAAGTTCCATGGCAATGATTGCATTCATTTTAAAGGCCAATTAGCAGGAATCAAAGACTGGGATTCAGATGTGCCTAAGGGAGTTAGGCATCCAATTCCATTTAAGCTCAATATAACTTGGGCATCTAACTCCTTTGAAATTCCACTTTAAATAGCAGTCTCTTATTTTTCCAGCCCTGGAGACTAAAATTCTCCTGAACCATAGAAGTACATCACAGATAGCAGCCCCCATTAGAATTTTATACCACTCTGCTATAGTTATGATTAAGAGATGGTTTTGGTCTTAACCTTGATTCATCCAAGTTATTTAAGGGGTATGCCTCATGGGCATGTGGGGCAGTTAGTGATCCAAATGTTAGGTCTTTTGACCCAAGGTTTCCCAAAATACAGCCCCTGCAAAAAACAATACCCCCAAAAACAGTATTTCTTAAAAGTTGAGATATTCTGGCAACCTTCCTCACCTTTCCCCCTCCCCAGAAGTTAAAGCAGGGCTGAGATCATTGCATCAAAATATCCAGAGCTTAAGGGTTACCCCAACAGAGTGTATGGCACCCAGAAGCCCTTGGGGCAGATAAAATTAAAGGGTTATTTCAAAAAGATTTTGCATCTCCCATTTAGTGTGTCACATGCAGATGCTCTTAAAGAAATTACACTGAGCATGCATGGACAGAGTTGTTAATAGGATTGTTAGCTTTCAAAGTTTCACCTCAGCTGCATAGCTCAAGGGGCTAGTAGCAGTCCTTTGAACCTAATCCACCCTGCGAGTGTCAGTTACAGTCCCACCTTGGGCAGAAATTTGGTAAAAGGTCTGTCAGTAGAATGTAATCAAAGGATTTTTTTTCCTTTTTAACCAAAATAGTTAGAATGTGAACATTTGCTGGGCTGGGGACTGGGAAGCATTTATGGGGTAGAGAAGTGGGGTATGGGGCTGTCTCAAGGAGAGGCATGATAGGGGAACTTAGGAGGGATGATGGGACTCGTGGGACTGATGAGGGAATGGCAGGGAAGCTGGGTGAGAATTAGGGCAAGGTGCCTCAGCCCTACATTCCTCTCTTCTCATGGGTGCCACAATATGGGGCATCTGGGCCGCTGTTCCACCAGGTGAGCTGGGAGGTCCCTGCCCCATGCACATCTGACCTACATTCTCTGCCCCTCCCCTCTGTGTGCGCACCAGAATCTGGGGACCCCTGCCTCCATAAGGGGGTCTGAGCCCCTTTTGCTGCCCCTTATAAGAAATTGTATATGAGAGACTTCCCTCTCTGGGGCTGTCTGATCCCTGCCTCCCTGTGTGCACCAGAATTTTGGGGGGCATCCAGTCATCTCTATGGATCTGACCCCGCTGCATGCTCCCCCATAGCCAGGTTCACAGGGGACATGAATTATTGGGGAAGGGTCTGAGCCCCACTCCCAATCCAACCCTGTAAGCGGTGATGAGGAAGCCCTGCCTCTCTGTGTTGCGAGCTTTGAATACGCATGGTCTGAGCATGCACTAAGAACCCACTGCTGAGAATGGGGTAAGGAGCTGTGAAGAGGTATGAAAAGCACAGAGACAAGTGTTTTGATCATCACTCAGCATATCACTAGAAATCTAGGTGAAAATAACTGCCTAAATGACCTCTAACTCCTACCAACAAACATTTCTCTGTTTAGAAAACTAAGGAAATCAAATGGCAAAAACCTTCCTTAAAGTTAAGCTGCCCAGGTGATAGCTCATGTTCCTCAAGACTTTCAAGATCAGAAAACTAGGAAATAGTGAGTCACAGTGAATGCCTGTGCAACCCTAACTCTTCCTTCTCTGAGGTATGTCTACACAGCAACATTATTTTGAAATAATGTAGTCCATGTCTACACAGCAGGCAGTTATTTAAAAATACTGTCAAACGGGAGGACTTCTTACTCTAACTCCTGTAAACCTCATTGTACGAGGAATAAGGGGAGTTGGAGGAAGAATGCTCTATTTTGAAATAAGTGCTGCATAGATGCTCCCAATTTTGAATTAAGCTACACAATTGACGTAGCTCAATTTGAGTAGCTTATTTCGAGTTAACCCCTAATGTGTAGATGCACCCTGAGAGATGCCCCAATACACCCCTAACAGATGTATCCCCAATCAGATTTTTCACTGTAATGGGCAGGGCAGCTTGCCTGCCTTCTAAACACTGAATCTACTATCTTAATAATGTGATACTTATCAAATTTAACCACAACTACATACCCTTTTACAACCTCCTCACACTTAGGTTATCACCTAAACCTGTGTTTCCTCTAGACATCATTAAATCCACAGATTGCTGTCATCTCCTCACTAGTGACAATCCCCATGGTAATAAGACTCCAGTGCCCTGCTACTGACACAGCCTACACAATTCTGAAAGTGGGGCAGACTGTAACTTTAAGTTACACATACATCTCCCTCCTCTGATAACATACATTTTGGAGTGGGGAAGTGTACTGAGACATAGAATTGCTTGTATCATAATCACAGTTCTTCTTCGAGTGGGTGCTCCACTCTAGGTGTCAGGTCCCATCCTGGCACCATGGCTCGGATAATTCTCATAGCCGTGCTCCGCCAGCCCGAGCATGCGCGGCTTTCCAAAGTGCCGTTCGCGCCTTTCATCAGCTGCGTGCAGACCAGCAACTGTCAGTTCCTCTCAACCGCTTCAGGTCGCGGTCGGAGCTCCCTGTGTTCTCTTATCTCTTCTCTCAAAATGATTTTACTTGGTTTCTTTAGCTGTAAATAGTTAAAAGTTTAGTGTTAGTCGTGTTCCTGTTCTTCTGATCTTCTGTTTGGGGGGGAAAAAAAAGGAGGAGTTTTTCTTTTCAAATCAGTTTCTTCAAGGCGCTGCGGTTAAGTGCTAAAGACCCGAAATTGACAAGGAGCAGAGAACAGGGATTAAGCAGGGTCAGCGTTCAGCCACCTTCACTGGCTCCTCACAATGCCGGGGTCCCCTGGTTTTAAAAAATGTCCAGTCTGCCAGGAAGCCATGCCAGCGGCTGACAGCCATGACGCTTGCATTAGGTTTCTGGGCGAGTCACACGTCCCACAAAAGTGCACCCACTGTTGCAAGCTTATGTTGAGAGCCCGGAGGGAGCGGGAATTAAAGGACCGGATGATGAGTTTTGGAAAGGCACTGCAGCATGACCTGATGCCTCCCTCAGCCACCACAAAAACCTCCGGTCAAAAAAGGAGAGCGGCTTCTCCGGGACCGGCTATTTCAAAGAGAACGAAGCCGTCCCCGACGTGCTCCCTCCCTCCGGCAGCTTCAAACACTTTGTCAGCCTTCAAAGTGACCCCCGCAGGGTCCCGACACTCTGCTGGTCCTGGCACCAGGGAATTGCAACCAAAAGGGCTCCACCTACTTTGGCACCGGTGCCGCAATTGCAATTGACAAACGAGCCGGCGCCGGCTTCAGCCGCCCCAACTCACAGCGTAGCTTTACCGCTGCAATTGACAACGCTGCCAGTGGCGCAACTGACAAGCCAGCTGGCACTGGCTTCAGCGGCACCGGCGGTTACGGCACCAGCTTCAGCAGCACTGCTTCTGACACCGCTGACTTCAGCGTTACTAGACCCAATGGCACCAGGCTCAGGGGTGCAGGTCCGGTTGCATCACCATCAGCAGAGTTAGCAATGCCAGCACTGGGCGTTCTCCTGGCACCGGCAGCAGCACAGCTGCAACTGATCTCCCCGGCACCGCTCTGCTCTCACTCAGGGCAGAGCTCCCCTGTTGTCATGGAAACTGACGGTGCTTCGGCTCCTAGGAAAGCACTGTCAAAAACTCTTGGTCTTCCTCTCCAGTGTTCTCCCCACGACCAGCTCTCTCTCCACCAAGGCGTACGCGATACCGTGATTATAGCGTCTCTCCTGTTCATGTCACATACAGACAGCGCAATTATAGAGACGCAGTATATCTGGAAGCACGTAGGTCCCGTTCACGAGCTCTTTCACCCGGACGTTCATCCAGGTATGGATCCACTAGACACTCTCTACGACGCGTCTATTACATTCAGCACAGTAGTGCACGCTCGTCGTGTCATTCCTCCCCATCACGTTTTGAGCGCTATTATGGTCACTACTATACATCGTACAATGATCGTCCCCACCGTGATCATACGTCATCATCCCCTAGGGGATGCTCCTGCAACTGCCGGTCACCAAGTCCGCAGTACTTACCGCAACAACCACAGCAGTCAAACTCACCTCCTCCATCGAGGAATCCAACTATCCAACAGCATCAGTCCGAGCCGGAAGAGGGACAACTGTCTGATGCGAAAGATCCTAAACCAGAAACTTCTCCGGCAGACTGTTCTTCATCATCACTGGATGAAGCAATATTTCTAGGTGACATATCTCCATCAGATGACTTAAAGCAATTCCAAGATCTGTTTAAACGGGTAGCAGGCACACAAGAAATACAGCTGGCAGATGTTCCGGTTAGAAAGCACTGACTCCTAAATAATCTTCGTCCGCAGCAGCATGCCAGGATTGCCTTACCAATTGATGAAGCGATCATGGAAGTGGCGGATGAGATATGGCAGGTGCCAATATTGGCTACTCCTACAAGTAAGAAGGCCGAAGAAAATACTTTGTGCCAGCAAAGGGGTTGGATTTTCTATTCAATCGCCCCCAGCCTAATTCATTAGTAGTTGACGCAGCGCAGCGAAGAGCTAAGGCGCCGCAGTACAAAAGTGCGCTCCCGGATAAGGACAATAAAAAATTAGATTTATTTGGTAGGAAAGTCTATTCTTCAGCCACACTTTTATTGCGCATCGCAAATTATTCAGCCTATTTATCAAACCACAATTTTGATAATTATTCGAAACTAGCGAAGTTGTTATATTATCTCCCAGACAATAAGAAACTATTATTAAAAGCAATAGTGAAGGAGGGATACGCAGCACGTAGCACTGTACTGCAGATTGCTATGGATGTGGCTGACACAGCTGCGCGAGCCACTGCTACGGGTATCGCAATGAGAAGATTGTCATGGCTCTCATCTGCAGGAGCACCAAGAGAGCTACAAAGCAAGGTGGAGGATCTGCCTTTAGATAAGCTTAAGCTTTTTGCGTAAAACACCGATGAAGTCCTTCATTCGGGCAAAGATTCTCACACCACTCTACATACACTGGGGATGTACACACCCTCCTTTAAACGTAGGCGCTATTACCCTTATCAGCGGAGATATGATTTCAATTTTCCCAGACAACAGACACGTACCTTCGAGAACCAACGTCCTAGACAACGTCCTCAGCGAAAATAGCCCCAACAAAACCATTTGGCCAATCAACCTTCGTCCAAACAGCAAATTTGACATTTCTGTCGAGGATGTAAGCAAACTGTCCATAGTCAACAGGGAAAACGAGACTTTTCATCTCTTTCACCATCATCTGAGATCGTATTACCATTGTTGGTCCAACATACCACAGACAGATGGGTACTGGAGGTTGTACAGTCCAGCCTATCTATTCCCTTTCTCTCCATTCCCCCTACCGCCCCACCTACCCCGCTCCTTTTCAGGGACCCCTCTCACGAGCAACTGCTGAGACAAGAAGTTCAGCTCTCACTTGTAATCAGGGCAATAGAGAGAGTCCCCAAACAGTTTTGGGGAAAAGGGTTTTATTCCCGATATTTTCTCACACCAAAGAAGTCGGGAGGCTGGAGACCCATCTTAGACATTCGAAAGTTAAATTGCCACCTTCGAAAACATCGATTCAAGATGGTGACCTTAACAACTATCATTCCCTCGTTGAGCAAAGAAGACTGGCTTGCAGGACGCTTACTTCCACGTCGCTATTCACGTGGCTCACAGATGTTTTCTTCGGTTCCAATTGGGGGGCGAACACTTTCAATACAGGGTTCTACCATTCGGACAAGCGTGTGCCCCCAAGGTTTTCACCAAAACCTTAGCGGTAGTGGCAGCCCACTTACGCAGATTGGGGGTGACAATATTCCCCTATTTAGATGATTGTCTCCTCAAGGGCACAACATATATGGAGACAAGTCATATGGTATGGACAGTATGGCTTCTCTGGGACTTCTCATAAATGTAAAAAAGTCATCACTGGTTCCGTCCCAAGATCTGATTTTATAGGTACACGGCTCGACTCAACCGTGGCATGGGCATACCTACTGGAAGGCATGGGATGCATAGTCCTAGGGATGGGGGTTCCACGGCCACCACCTCCAAAAGAAAACAACGGGTGATGGTGGTTGGGGACTCCCTCCTCAGAGGGACTGAGCCATCCATCTGCTGTCTGGACCTGGAATCTCGAGAGGTGTGCTGCTTACTGGGAGCTCACATTCAGGATGTGACCAAGAGGCTTACCAAATTGATCAAATCTTCGGATTGCTACCCCTTCCTGCTTCTCCATGTGGGAACTAACGATATGGCCAAGAATGACCTTGAGGTTACTGTGGATTATGTAGTACTGGGAAGAAGGATCCAAGAATTTGGACCGCAAGTGGTGTTCTCGTCTATCCTCCCTGTTGAAGGAAAAGGACTGGGCAGGCATCATCAAACTGAGGAAGTAAATGCGTGGTTGTGCAGGTGGTGTCGCAGAGAAGGCTTTGGTTTCTTCGACCATGGGACTCTATTCCGGGCACAAGGATTGTTAGGAAGAGATGGGATCCACCTAACCAAGAGAGGAAGGAGCATTTTCGCGGGGAGGCTTGCAAACCTAGTGAGAAGGGCTTTAAATTAGATTCATTGGGGGACGGTGACCAAAACCCTGAGGGGAGTGGGAAAGTCAGATACCGGGAAGAAATGCAAAGAGGAACAAGCAACAAAAGAGGACCCCTGATTCGAATGGAGAAGATAGGACGATCAACTGGTTATCTAAGGTGTTTGTACACTAATG